TGCATTGGGGCTGCAGAGCGCCTGCAGCATCAGCCCAGGTCAGCAGCCCAAATCCTGGGGAAACCACGAGGAAATCCTGGGAGAATCCCAGGAAAATCTCAGGGACATCCTGGGGAATTCCTGGGAAAATCCTGGGAAAATCCTGGGGGAATCACAGGAGAACGCTGAGGAAATCCTGGGAGAGTCCTGGGGAAATCCTGGGAACATCCTGGGGAAATCCTGGGAACATCCTGGGGAAATCCTGGGAAAATTCTGGGGAAATCCTGGGGGAATCCTGGGGAAATCACAGAAGAGCCCTGGGGCCATACTGGGAAAATCCTGGGAGAACACTGGGGAAATCACAGGAAAACGCTGAGGAAATCCTGGGAGAGTCCTGGGGAAATCCTGGGAGAATCCTGGGGAAACCCTGGGAACATCCTGGGGAAACCTGGGAGGATCCTGGGGAAACCTGGGAGGATCCTGGGGAAACCTGGGAGGATCCTGGGGAAACCTGGGAGGATCCTGGGGAAACCTGGGAGGATCCTGGGGAAACCTGGGAGGATCCTGGGGAAACCTGGGAGGATCCTGGGGAAACCTGGGAGGATCCTGGGGAAACCTGGGAGGATCCTGGGGAAACCTGGGAGGATCCTGGGGAAACCTGGGAGGATCCTGGGGAAACCTGGGAGGATCCTGGGGAAACCTGGGAGGATCCTGGGGAAACCTGGGAGGATCCTGGGGAAACCTGGGAGGATCCTGGGGAAACCCTGAGCAAACGCTGTAAAATCAGGGGGAAATCCTGAGAGAATCCTGCCAAAAATGCTGGGACAATCACAGGAAAACCCTGGGAAAATCACAGGGAGTTCCTGGGAAAACCTTGGGAAAATCGTGAGAAAACCACAGGGAAACCCTGGGAGAAGCCTGGAGGAATCCTGGCAATTCCAACCTCTGGAGCTCTGAATCCCACCAATCCCTTTTTTTTCCATAAAAATTCCCCCAAAAATCCCATTTTATCAGGATCTCCTGGTTTTTCCCCAGAGTTTTCCCAACCCTTGGAATATTTCCCCTTCCCAGAGATCGTGTGTGACCCCCTGCTGGATTCCAACCTCTGGGGCTCTGAATCCCACCAATCCCTTTTTTGCCATAAAAACTCCCACAAAAATCCCATTTTGTCAGGATCTCCTGGTTTTTCCCTGGAGTTATCCCAACCCCTGGAATGTTTTCCCTCCCCAGAGATCGTGTGTGACCCCCTGCTGGATTCCAACCTCTGGGGCTCCCTGCATCCCACCAATCCCTTTTTTTCCCTGAAAATTCCCACAAAAATCCCATTTTATCAGGATCTCCTGGTTTTTCCCTGGAGTTTTCCCAACCCCTGGAATGTTTTCCCCTTCCCAGAGATCGTGTGTGACCCCCTGCTGGATTACAACGTCTGGAGCTCCCTGCAGCCCATCAACGCCTCGGGGCGGCTGCAGCCCGGCCAGCGCCTCGTCCTGGCGGCCACGCGGGTGCGTGCCCGGGGGGAATCCTGGGGGAAAATCCTGGGGAAATCCAGGAAAAATCCTGGGGAAAATCCCTGGAGAAATCCGGGGAAAATCCCTGGAGAAATCCCGGAAAAATCCTGGGGAAAATCATGGGGAAATCCCTGGAGAAATCCAGGAAAAATCCTGGGGAAAATCGTGGGGAAATCCCTCTAGAAATCCTGGGAAAATCGTGGAGAAATCCAGGAAAAATCCTGGGGAAATTGTGGGAAAAATCCCTGGAGAAATCTGGGAAAAATCCTGGGGAAAATCTGGGGAAAATCCCTGGAGAAATCCCAGAAAAATCCTGGGGAAAATCATGGGAAAATCCCTGGATAAATCCTGGGAAAACCGTGGAGAAATCCAGGAAAAATCCTGGGGAAAACTATGGGGAAATCGTTTCCAGTTGGCCAGCCACTCCTTTTCCCTGCCCCATTCCCATTTTTTCCATTTTCCAGTTGGCCAGCCACTCGTTTTCCCAGAACATTCCCATTTTTCCGTTTTCCAGGTGGACAGCCACTTGTTTTTCTGGAACATTCCCATTTTTCCAGTTGGCCAGCCACTCCTTTTCCCTGCCCCATTCCCATTTTTTCCATTTTCCAGTTGGCCAGCCACTCGTTTTCCCAGAACATTCCCATTTTTCCGTTTTCCAGGTGGACAGCCACTTGTTTTTCTGGAACATTCCCATTTTTCCAGTTGGCCAGCCACTCCTTTTCCCTGCCCCATTCCCATTTTTTCCATTTTCCAGTTGGCCAGCCACTCGTTTTCCCAGAACATTCCCATTTTTCCGTTTTCCAGGTGGACAGCCACTTGTTTTTCTGGAACATTCCCATTTTTCCAGTTGGCCAGCCAAAATCCCTGGAGAAATCCAGGAAAAATCCTGGGGAAAATAGTGGGGAAATAGTGGGAAAAATCCCTGGAGAAATCTGGGGGAAATCATGGGGAAATCCCTGGAGAAATCTGGGAAAAATCCTGGGGGAAATCGTGGGGAAATCCCTGGAGAAATCCTGGGAAAATCGTGGAGAAATCCAGGAAAAATCCTGGGGAAAACCATGGGGAAATCGTTTCCAGCTGGCCAGCCACTCATTTCCCTGCCCCGTTCCCATTTTTCCGTTTTCCAGTTGGCTAACCACTCGTTTTCCCAGAACATTCCCATTTTTCCGTTTTCCAGGTGGACAGCCACTTGTTTTTCTGGAACATTCCCATTTTTCCAGTTGGCCAGCCACTCCTTTTCCCTGTCCCATTCCCATTTTTCCATTTTCCAGGTGGACAGCCACTTGTTTTTCTGGCACATTCCCATTTTTCCGTTTTCGAGGTGGCCAGCCACTTGTTTTTCTGGCACATTCCCATTTTTCCGTTTTCGAGGTGGCCAGCCACTTGTTTTTCTGGCACATTCCCATTTTTCCGTTTTCCAGTTGGCCAGCCCCTCCTTTCCCCTGCCCCATTCCCATTTTCCCGTTTTCCAGCTGGACAGCCACTCATTTCCCTGCCCCATTCCCGTTTTCCCGTTTTCCAGTTGGCCAGCCACTCCTTTTCTCTGTCCCATTCCCATTTTCCCATTTTCCAGTTGGCCAGCCACTCCTTTTCCCTGCCCCATTCCCATTTTCCCGTTTTCCAGCTGGACAGCCACTCATTTCCCTGCCCCATTCCCGTTTTCCCGTTTTCCAGTTGGCCAGCCACTCCTTTTCTCTGTCCCATTCCCATTTTCCCATTTTCCAGTTGGCCAGCCACTCCTTTTCCCTGCCCCATTCCCCGGGTGCCGAGGCCGCCGTCGGTTCCTTCGTGGCGCTGCTGGCGGCGGCGCAGGCGCTGCAGGCGGCCCCGGGCTCCCAGCAGCTGCCCCAGAACGTCCTCTTCGTCTTCTTCCAGGGGGTGAGAGCAGGAATTCCCTGGGATCCAGCCCCAAATCCCCTGGGATCCCAGCCCCAAATCCTGGGGATCCCAGCCCCAAATCCTCTGGGATGCAGCCCCAAATCCCCAGGGATCCAGCCCCAAATCCCCTGAGATCCAGCCCCAAATCCCCTGAGATCCAGCCCCAAATCCCCTGAGATCCAGCCCCAAATCCCCTGAGATCCAGCCCCAAATCCCCTGAGATCCAGCCCCAAATCCCCTGAGATCCAGCCCCAAATCCCCTGAGATCCAGCCCCAAATCCCCTGAGATCCAGCCCCAAATCCCCTGAGATCCAGCCCCAAATCCCCTGAGATCCAGCCCCAAATCCCCTGAGATCCAGCCCCAAATCCCCTGAGATCCAGCCCCAAATCCCCTGAGATCCAGCCCCAAATCCCCTGAGATCCAGCCCCAAATCCCCTGAGATCCAGCCCCAAATCCCCTGAGATCCAGCCCCAAATCCCCTGAGATCCAGCCCCAAATCCCCTGAGATCCAGCCCCAAATCCCCTGAGATCCAGCCCCAAATCCCCTGAGATCCAGCCCCAAATCCCCTGAGATCCAGCCCCAAATCCCCTGAGATCCAGCCCCAAATCCCCTGGGATCCAGCCCCAAATCCTTGGGATCCATCCCCGGATCCTCGGGATCAACCCCAGCCCTTGGGAATGTTTTTTTCCCGGGGTTTTGGGTGGGATTGGCTCTGTGTCTGTGATTTTTTTCCTTTTCTCCGTTCTCTTTCCTTCTTTTCCATTTCTTTCCCTTTCGCTCCTTGGCATTTCTTTGCTTTCCCCTTTCCCCTTTTCCCTTTCCCTTTTTCCATTTTCCCTTTCACTTTTCTCTTTCTTCTTTTCCTTTGTTTTCCCCTTTCCCTTTCCCCCTTTTCTCTTTTCCCCTTTTCCCTTTCCCCCTTTTCTCTTTTCCCCTTTTCCCCTCTTGCATTTCCCTCCCTTTCTCCTTTTCCCCTTTTTCCCTTTCCCCTTTTCTCTTTTCCCCTTTTCCCCTTTTCCATTTCCCCATTCCCTTTCCCCTTTTCGCTTTCTCTCTTTCCGCCTTTTCCCTTTTCCCCTTTCCCCTTCCCCTTTCCCCATTCCCATTTCCCCTTTCCCATTCCCATTTCCCTTTTCCCATTCCCATTTCCCCATTCCCATTTCCCATTTCCCCATTCCCATTTCCCCTTTCCCATTCCCATTTCCCCTTTCCCCTTTCCCCTTTCCCATTCCCATTTCCCTTTTCCCCTTTTCCCATTCCCATTTCCCCTTTCCCCTTTCCCATTCCCATTTCCCATTCCCATTTCCCCATTCCCATTCCCATTTCCCTTTCCCATTCCCATTTCCCTTTCCCCTTCTCCCTTCCCTCTGCCCACGCCGGCATTCCGGCCTTTTCCCCTTTTCCAGGAGACCTTTGATTACATCGGCAGCTCCCGCCTGGTGTTTGACATGGAGCAGGAGAAGTTCCCGCTGCGCCTGGAGAACATCGCGGCCTTCCTGGAGCTGGGCCAGGTCCGGCGGCGTCCCGGGGAGCATTCCCAGGATCCTTGGCTGGGAATTCCCTCAGCTTCCCTGGCAAAAATTCCCTGATTTTTCCCTGCCTTTCCCATCCCAGCTCTGGATTTTCCCTGCTATTCCCACCCTGGGGCTGAGTTGCCCCTGGGAATTCCCTGAGTTTCCCCTGGGAATTCCCTGAGTTTCTCCCGGCATTCCCTGATTTTTCCCTGCCTTTCCCATCCCAGCTCTGAATTTTCCCTGGAATTCCCACCTTGGGGCTGAGTTGCCCCTGGCATTCCCTGATTTTTCCCTGGATTTCCCATCCCAGCTCTGGATTTTCCCTGCAATTCCCACCCTGGGGCTGAGTTTCCCCTGGGAATTCCCTGAGTTTCCCCTGGCATTCCCTGATTTTTCCCTGGATTTCCCATCCCAGCTCTGGATTTTCCCTGCAATTCCCACCCTGGGGCTGAGTTTCCCCTGGGAATTCCCTGAGTTTCTCCTGGCATTCCCTGATTTTTCCCTGGATTTCCCATCCCAGCTCTGGATTTTCCCTGCAATTCCCACCCTGGGGCTGAGTTTCCCCTGGGAATTCCCTGAGTTTCCCCTGGGAATTCCCTGAGTTTCCCCTGGCATTCCCTGATTTTTCCCTGCCTTTCCCATCCCAGCTCTGAATTCTCTCTGAGTTTCCCATCCCAGCCCTGATTTTCCCTGCAATTCCTGTCCAGGGCCCCGGAATTCCCATCCAGGGGCTGAGTTTTCCCCAGAATTCCCATCCCAGCTTGGATTTTCCCTGGAATTCCCATCAAGGGCCCCAGAATTCCCACCCTGCTACTCAGTTTTCCCCGGAATTCCCATCCCAGCCCTGATTTTTCCCTGGAATTCCCCCCCTGGGGCTGTTTTTAACCCGGAATTCCCATCCCAGCCCTGATTTTTCCCTGGGAATTCCCACCCTGGGGCTGTTTTTTCCCCGGAATTCCCATCCCAGCTCTGATTTTTCCCGGATTTCCCCCCCGGGCTGTTTTCCAGGTGTCCCTGAGGAACAGCTCCGTGCTCTGGATGCACACGGATCCCGTCTCCCGCCGGAACGAATCCGTGGAATCCCAGGTGAGCCCGGAACCCCGGGAATGTTCCCCATCCCTGGGAATCCCTGGGAATTCCCTGCCAGCCTCGCTGGGAGCCGTCCCGGCCTCGGAGCCTTTCCCAAAAAACCCCAAACCCGAGCACAATTCCTGGGATATTCCCAGTGAAATCTGGGATCCCCCATGGGATTTCAGATTTCCGGAGGGAATTCCATCCACTTCTGATTCCCAGTGGGAATTCCATCCAGTACAAATTCCTGATGGGGAATTCCATCCAGTTCAGATTCCCAGAGGGAATTCCATCCACTTCATATTCCCAGTGGGAATTCCATCTGTTTCAAATTCCTGATGGGGAATTCCATCCACTTCAATTCCCAGTGGGAATTCCATCTGTTTCAAATTCCTGATGGGAATTCCATCTGCTTCAGATTCCCAGTGGGAATTCCATCCCAAAAATCCCCCTGTGCTGATCCCAGATTCCCTTTTCCTTGGACATTCCAACCAGAACTCCAGGATTCCCAGCAGGATTTCAGCTGCCCGTCCCAGAACCCCTCGGGCTTCCCGGCATTCCCGGAATTCCTGCTTTTCCAGGTGCAGAATCTCCTGGCCGTGCTCCGGAGCAGCGGCTCCGGCTCCAACGTTTCCCTGCAGGAGCCGGGGGTGTCCCAGCCCCTCCCCCCCTCGTCATTCCAGAGGTTCCTGAGATCCCGGAGCATCCCGGGGGTGGTGCTGAGCGACCACCGGGCCGCCTTCCACAACAGGTAAAGCTGGGAATTCCGGGTGGAATCCGGGAATTCTGGGAGTTCTGGGACGGGTAAAACCCGGGAATGCTGGGAATTGTGGGGCAGGAACGACCCAGGAATTCTGGGAATTCCGGAACGGGTGCAAAATCTGGGAATTCTGAGACAGGTAGAAACCGGGAGTTCTGGAACGGGTAAAAAATCTGGGAATTCTGGGAATTCCAGTAAAGGTACAAGTCCTGGAATTCTGGGAATTCTGGAACAGGTAACAAATCTGGGAATTCTGGGAATTCCAGTAAAGGTACAAGTCCTGGAATTCTGGGAATTCTGGAACAGGTAACAAATCTGGGAATTCTGGGAATTCCAGTAAAGGTACAAGTCCTGGAATTCTGGGAATTCTGGAACAGGTAACAAATCTGGGAATTCTGGGAATTCCAGTAAAGGTACAAGTCCTGGAATTCTGGGAATTCTGGAACAGGTAACAAATCTGGGAATTCTGGGAATTCCAGTAAAGGTACAAGTCCTGGAATTCTGGGAATTCTGGAACAGGTAACAAATCTGGGAATTCTGGGAATTCCAGTAAAGGTACAAGTCCTGGAATTCTGGGAATTCTGGAACAGGTAAAATCTGGGAATTCTGGCAATTCCAGAACAGGTATAAAACCTGGGAATTCCAGGAATTCTGAGACAGGTACAAAATCCAGAAATTCTGGGAATTCTGAGACAGGTACAAGCCGGGAGTTCTGGAACGGGTAAAATCTGGGAATTCTGGGAATTCCAGTAAAGGTACAAGTCCTGGAATTCTGGGAATTCTGGAACAGGTAAAATCCAGGGAATCTGGGAATTCTGGGCATTCCAGAAGAGATACAGGTACAGGTAAAATCCAGGAATTCCGGGCATTCCAGCAGGATCCCACCTTCCCATCCCGAAAATCCGGGATTTTCAGCCCTTCCCGCGGGAACCCCCCCTCCCCCCCCAGCGGGAATTCTGGGAATGCTCGGAAGAGCGGGAGGGAATTGCTCGGACAGGCGAGAGAAAATTCCGGGCTTTTTTTGGGAGAAGCTCCCTGGCCCGGAGCCCGGGAGGAGCCGGAGGCGCCGGAGCCGCAGCTGCGCTTCCGGAGGCCGCTCCCGGAATTTTTTATGGAATTATTTCCCGGCCGTTTCCTCTTCCCCAGTTCCAGGGGGTTTTTTGGGATCACCCCCCGTGACCCCGGTCCGGCTTTTCCAAAGGGATTCTCGGATCCGCGGCGGGAATTTGGGAATCACGAAAAGCCCAAATCCCAGCTCTGGGATCCCTTGGGATCATCCTGGCTTTCCTGGGAATCTGGAATTCCCTTGGAATTCTGTCCGGGATCGGCCATTGATGGGTGATGAATCGTTCATTGCTAAAACCCTTTGGAATTCCCTCCTTTTCCTTGGATCCTTTGGGAATTTTCCCCCTCCCAGCTCATGGAATGGGCTCCGAAATTCCAACCGCAGCCTGGAAAATCCCTGGAATTCCCAGCAGGAAAAGCTTGGGAAGAGCAAATTCCCAGCCCTCCTGGTTAATCCCAGAAAATCCCTCAGGAGAAGCTTCGGAATTCCGAGCCCTCCTCGTTCAATTCCCGGGAATGGGGAATTCCCGGCTCCTCCTCCGGGGGGTTTTCCCGGGAATCCCGGCCCCATCCCGGATTTTTCCCGGGTTTTGTTCCCAGGTACTTCCAGAGCATCTACGACACGGCCGAGAGCATCGGGATGCGTTATCCCGAGGGGCTGAGCCCCGAGCAGCAGCTGGAATTCGTCACCGGCACCGCCCAGGTCCCAACCATTCCCGGGAATTCCGGGGGCTCGGGAGAGGGGAATTCCTGGGATACGGGATCCGGGGGATTCCTGGGGTTTGGGATCATGGGGATTCCTGGGATTCGGGAGAGGGGAATTCCTGGGGTTCGGGATCCAGGGGATTCTTGGGATCCAGGGATTCCTGGGATTTGGGGGTTGGGAATTCCTGGGGTTTGGGATCCAGGGGATTCCTGGGGTTTGGAAGATGGGAATTCCAGGGATCCAGGGGATTCCTGGGGTTTGGGATCATGGGAATTCCTGGGATCCAGGGATTCCTGGGGTTTGGGATCGTGGGAATTCCTGGGATTCGGGAGAGGGGAATTCCTGGGGTTCGGGATCCAGGGGGTTCTTGGGATCCAGGGGTTCCTGGGATTTGGGGGTTGGGAATTCCTGGGGTTTGGGATCCAGGGGATTCCTGGGGTTTGGAAGATGGGAATTCCAGGGATCCAGGGGATTCCTGGGGTTTGGGATCATGGGGATTCCTGCGGTTCGGGATCATGGGAATTCCTGGGATCCAGGGATTCCTGGGGTTTGGGATCATGGGAATTCCAGGGATCCAGGGGATTCCTGGGGTTTGGGATCATGGGAATTCCTGGGATCCAGGGATTCCTGGGGTTTGGGATCATGGGAATTCCTGGGATCCAGGGATTCCTGGGGTTTGGGATCATGGGAATTCCAGGGATCCAGGGGATTCCTGGGGTTTGGGATCATGGGAATTCCTGGGATCCAGGGATTCCTGGGGTTTGGGATCATGGGAATTCCTGGGATCCAGGGATTCCTGGGGTTTGGGATCATGGGAATTCCAGGGATCCAGGGGATTCCTGGGGTTTGGGATCATGGGAATTCCTGGGATCCAGGGATTCCTGGGGTTTGGGATCATGGGAATTCCTGGGATCCAGGGATTCCTGGGGTTTGGGATCATGGGAATTCCAGGGATCCAGGGGATTCCTGGGGTTTGGGATCATGGGAATTCCTGGGATCCAGGGATTCCTGGGGTTTGGGATCATGGGAATTCCTGGGATCCAGGGATTCCTGGGGTTTGGGATCATGGGAATTCCAGGGATCCAGGGGATTCCTGGGGTTTGGGATCATGGGAATTCCTGGGATCCAGGGATTCCTGGGGTTTGGGATCATGGGAATTCCTGGGATCCAGGGATTCCTGGGGTTTGGGATCATGGGAATTCCAGGGATCCAGGGGATTCCTGGGGTTTGGGATCATGGGAATTCCTGGGATCCAGGGATTCCTGGGGTTTGGGATCATGGGAATTCCTGGGATCCAGGGATTCCTGGGGTTTGGGATCATGGGAATTCCAGGGATCCAGGGGATTCCTGGGGTTTGGGATCATGGGAATTCCTGGGATCCAGGGATTCCTGGGGTTTGGGATCATGGGAATTCCTGGGATCCAGGGATTCCTGGGGTTTGGGATCATGGGAATTCCAGGGATCCAGGGGATTCCTGGGGTTTGGGATCATGGGAATTCCTGGGATCCAGGGATTCCTGGGGTTTGGGATCATGGGAATTCCTGGGATCCAGGGATTCCTGGGGTTTGGGATCATGGGAATTCCAGGGATCCAGGGGATTCCTGGGGTTTGGGATCATGGGAATTCCTGGGATCCAGATTTGGGATCATGGGAATTCCTGGGGTTTGGGAGATGGGAATTCCTGGGATTTGGAATCATGGGAATTCCAGGGATCTAGGGGATTCCTGGGGTTTGGGATCATGGGAATTCCTGGGGGTCGGGAGATGGTAATTCCTGGGATCCAGGGATTCCTGGGGTTTGGGAGATGGGAATTCCTGGGGTTTGGGATCCAGGGGATTCCTGGGGTTTGGGAGATGGGAATTCCAGGGATCTAGGGGATTCCTGGGGTTTGGGATCATGGGAATTCCTGGGATTTGGGAGGTGGGAATTCCTGAGATTCGGGATCCAGGGGATTCCTGGGATTTGGGAGATGGGAATTCCTGGGGTTTGGGATCATGGGAATTCCAGGGATCCAGGGGATTCCTGGGGTTTGGGGGATTCCTCAGATTTGGGATCTGAAAGATTCTTGGGATTTGCGATCTGGGATTTGGGATCCAGAGGATTCTTTGCATTTGGGATCCAGGGGATTCCTGGGATTTGGGATCTGGGATTCGGGATCCAGGGGATTCCTGGGATTCGGGATCCAGGCAGGAATGGGGTTTGGAGGGGAGGGAAAGTTAGGAAGAAGGTGGGAAAAGTTGGGAAGGAGCTGGGAGGGGTTTGGGATTGGGAGAGGGAGGGAAAAGCTTGGGAAAGGGGTGGGGATAAATCCCGAGGGGTTCGGGAATGGGGAGAGCAGGGAAAAGCCGGGAATGGGGGCGGGAAGGATCCGGGAGCGGCGGGACGGGGGAGCTGCGGGCCGGCCGCTGATCCCGGCCGCTTTCCCGGGAATTCCCGCTGCGGAATTGCCACAATTCCCGGATTTGTTCCCGGTCTGCAGGCCCTGGCCGAGGTGGCCACGCTGGTGGCCCGGGCTCTGTTCACCCTGGCCGGGGGAACCGCCGGCACCGAGAGCATCCGGGCGGACCCCAGAACGGTGGGAATTCCTGCTGGGAATCGCTGCTGGGAATCACTGCTGGGAATGTTGGGAATCGGGAATCCATGTTGGGAATCCATGCTGGGAATCACTGCAGGGAATTCATGCTGGGAATGTTGGGAATCCCTGCTGGAATTCCTGCTGGGAATCACTGCTGGGAATCCCTGCTGGGAATCCCTGCTGGGAATCCCTGCTGGGAATCCCTGCTGGGAATCCCTGCTGGGAATCCCTGCTGGGAATCCCTGCTGGGAATCCCTGCTGGGAATCCCTGCTGGGAATCACTGCTGGGAATCCATGCTGGGAATTCCTGCTGGGAATCACTGCTGGGAGTGCTGGGAATGCTGCAGTGGGAATCCACTGGCAGCCCCAGTTTCCCTGGAATGCCCAATTTTCCTGGAGTCTCTGGGATTGAAATCCCCAACTTTCTTGGAGTATCTGGGATTGAAATCCCCATTTTTCCTGGAACTGGAATCCCCGTTCTTTACTGAAATCCCTGGAATCCGAATCCCCAAAAATCCCTGGAATTAGAATCCCTGGGTTTTGTGGGATCCGTGGGATTGGAACCCCTGGGACTGGAATCCCCCATTTACCTGGAATCCCTGGAATGACAATCCCTGATTTTCCTGGAATCCCTGGAATTACAATCCACAATTTTACTGGGATTCCTAAAATTGAAATCCCTGGAATTGGAATCCCCATTTACCTGGAATCCCTGGAATCAGAATCCTCGATTTTCCAGGAATCCCTGATTTTCCTGAGATCCCAAATTTTCCTGGGATCCCAGATTTTCCAGGAATCCCCGATTTTCCTGGAATCCCCGATTTTCCTGAGATCCCAAATTTTCCCGGGATCCCCGATTTTCCAGGAATCCCCGATTTTCCTGGAATCCCCGATTTTCCCGGGATCCCAAATTTTCCAGGAATCCCCGATTTTCCTGAGATCCCAAATTTTCCTGGGATCCCCGATTTTCCTGGAATCCCTGGAATCAGAATCCTCGATTTTCCAGGAATCCCTGATTTTCCTGAGATCCCAAATTTTCCTGGGATCCCAGATTTTCCAGGAATCCCCGATTTTCCTGGAATCCCCGATTTTCCTGAGATCCCAAATTTTCCCGGGATCCCCGATTTTCCAGGAATCCCCGATTTTCCCGGGATCCCCGATTTTCCTGGGAGCCCAGATTTTCCATGAATCCCCGATTTTCCCGGGATCCCCGATTTTCCAGGAATCCCCGATTTTCCCGGGATTCCCGATTTTCCTGGGAGCCCCTCCCGTGCCGGGCCCTTTCCCTGAGGGAATTCCGGCTTTCCCGCAGGTCACGCGGCTGCTCTACGGATTCCTGCTCAACTCCAACAACTCCTGGTTCCAGTCCCTGATCAAGCCCGACCAGAAGGGAATCCTGGGTGAGGAGAGAGCCCCATTCCCGCTTTTCCGGCCGCGATTCCCGGCTGGAATTCCCGTGAGCTGGGATCCCCATTTTCCCCGGCTGGAATTCCCATCTTTCCTGGCTGCGATTCCCATTTTTCCCCTCTCCGATCCCCGTTTTCCCCTCTCTAATCCCTGTTTTTCCAGCTGTGATTCCCCATCCCCAATCCTGTTTTCCCTATTCCCCAGCTGGAATTCCCATGCCTCAGAGCTGGAATTCTCATTCCCAGTCCCATTTTTCCCATTCCTCAGCTGGAATTCTTCTTCCCAATCTCATTTTTCCCATTCCCCAGGGCTGTAATTCCCATTTGCAATCCCGTTTTTCCCATTCCCAGCTGGAATTCCCATTCCCCAGCTGGAATTCCCATTCCTCAGCTGGCATTCCCATTCTTCCCATTCCCAATCCCATTCTTCTCATTCCCCAGAGCCGGAATATCCGTTCCCAATCCCGTTTTTCCCATTTTCCCGTTCCCCAGCTGTAATTCCCATTGCCCAGAGCTGCAATTCCCATCCCCAATCCCGTTTTTCCCATTTTCCCATTCCCCAGAGCTGTAATTCCCATTCCCTAGAGGCAGAATTCCCGTTCCCAATCCCATTTTTCCCATTCCCCAGCTGTAATTCCCATTGCCCAGAGCTGCAATTCCCGTTCCCAATCCCGTTTTTCCCATTTTCCCATTGCCCAGAGCTGTAATTCCCATTCCCTAGAGGCAGAATTCCTGTTCCCAATCCCATTTTTCCCATTCCCCAGCTGTAATTCCCGTTCCCCAGAGCCGCAATTCCCGTTCCCAATCCCACTTTTCCCATTTTTCCTGTTCCCCAGAGCTGTAATTCCTGTTCCCCAGAGCAGCAGTTCCCGTTCCCAATCCCGTTTTTCCCATTTTCCCATTCTCCAGAGCCACAATTCCCGTTCCCAATCCCGTTTTTCCCGGTCCCCAGAGCCGCAGTTCCCGTTCCCAATCCCGCTTTTCCCGCTTTTCCTGTTCCCCAGAGCTGTAATTCCCGTTCCCCAGAGCCGCAGTTCCCGTTCCCAATCCTGCTTTTCCCGCTTTTCCCGTTTTTCCAGGCCCTTTTCCCCAGCACTACGTGGCCGTGTCCAGCCCCACCAACACCACGCAGCTGCTGCAGGCGGTGCTGGGCAACCTGACCGGGGCCAGCGTCAACCTGAGCCGGGAGCAGTGCCAGGATCCCGGGAAAACCCCGGGGACACAGCCCGAGGTGAGCCTGGGATAACGGGAATGGGGATGGGGATGGGGGCCAGGATCCCGGGAAAACCCCGGGGACACAGCCCGAGGTGAGCCTGGATTTGGGAATGGGGATGGGAATGGGGGCCAGGATCCTGGGAAAACCCTGGGCACGCAGCCCGAGGTGAGCCTGGATTCGGGAATGGGGATGGGAATGGGGGCCAGGATCCTGGGAAAACCCTGGGCACGCAGCCCGAGGGGAGCCTGGATTCGGGAATGGGGATGGGAATGGGGGCCAGGATCCTGGGAAAACCCTGGGCACGCAGCCCGAGGGGAGCCTGGATTCGGGAATGGGGATGGGAATGGGGGCCAGGATCCTGGGAAAACCCTGGGCACGCAGCCCGAGGGGAGCCTGGATTCGGGAATGGGGATGGGAATGGGGGCCAGGATCCTGGGAAAACCCTGGGCACGCAGCCCGAGGGGAGCCTGGATTCGGGAATGGGGATGGGAATGGGGGCCAGGATCCCGGGAAAACCCCGGGGCCACAGCCTGAGGTGAGCCTGGATTTGGGAATGGGGATTGGGGCCAGGATCCTGGGAAAACCCCGGGGGCACAGCCCGAGGTGAACCTGGGATAACGGGAATGGGGATGGGGATTGGGGCCAGGATCCCGGGAAAACCCCTGGGACACAGCCTGAGGTGAGCCAGGATTCGGGAATGGGAATTGGGATAGGGACCAGGATCCCAGGAAAACCCCGGGGACACAGCCCGAGGTGATCCTTGGGATAACAGGATGGGATTTGGGTTTTCCCATGTGTAATTCCCTTTTTTCCTAGCTGTAATTCCCGTTATCCCAGCTCTCATTCCCGTTTTTCCCTGTGTAATTCCCGTTTTTCCCTCCCTGTGTAATTCCCGTGTCCCTGTGCCCCCAGCTGTCATTCCCGTTACCCCAGCTCTCATTCCCGTGTTTCCCGGTGTAATCCCCGTTTTGCCCTGTGTCATTCCCGTGTTTCCCGGTGTAATCCCCGTTTTGCCCTGTGTCATTCCCGTGTTTCCCGGTGTAATCCCCGTTTTGCCCTGTGTCATTCCCGTGTTTCCCGGTGTAATCCCCGTTTTGCCCTGTGTCATTCCCGTGTTTCCCGGTGTAATCCCCGTTTTGCCCTGTGTCATTCCCGTGTTTCCCGGTGTAATCCCCGTTTTGCCCTGTGTCATTCCCGTGTTTCCCGGTGTAATCCCCGTTTTGCCCTGTGTCATTCCCGTGTTTCCCGGTGTAATCCCCGTTTTTCCCTGTGTAATTCCCGTTACCCCAGCTCTCATTCCCGTTTTTCCTGTGTCATTCCCGTTATTCCCGGTGTAATCCCCGTTTTTCCCTGTGTAATTCCCGTGTTTCCCGGTGTAATTCCCGTTATTCCCGGTGTAATCCCCGTTTTTCCCTGTGTCATTCCCGTTTTTCCCGGTGTAATTCCCGTGTCCCTGTGTCCCCAGCTCTCATTCCCGTTATTCCCGGTGTAATCCCCGTTTTTCCCTGTGTCATTCCCGTTATTCCCGGTGTAATCCCCGTTTTTCCCTGTGCCCCCAGCTGTACGAGTACTGGTGGGTGCAGGGCCCCCTGGACGGGAATTCCTCGTCCCGGATTCCCGGCTGTGTGCGCTCCGCCGTCCGGCTGTCCCCCGCGCTGTCCCCGGCCTTCGAGCTGCGCCGCTGGGATTCCCGGGAATTCTCCACCTGGACCGAGAGCCGCTGGAAGGACATCCGGGCGCGCATCTTCCTGGTGGCCAGCAGGGAGCTGGAGGTGACACGGACAGGGATGGGGACACGGGGATGGGACAGGGATGGAGACACAGGGACAGGGATGGGACAGGGGTGTGGGGACAGGGGGACAGGGACATGGGGACAGGGATGGGGACACGGGGAGGGGACACGGGGACAGGGATGTGGGGACATGGGGACAGGGACACAGGGACATGGGGACAGGGATGGGACAGGGGTGTGGGGACAGGGGACACAGGGACACGGAGGGACACAGGGACAGTGACTGGGGTGGGACAGGGACACAGGGAAGGGACACAGGGACAGTGACAGGGATGTGGGGACAGGGAGGACACAAGGGGTGGGACAAGGAGGGACCCTGGGTTGATCCCAATCCCCAATATCCGAAATCCCCAATGTCCCAAATTCCCAATAATCCCAATATCCAAATCCCCAATATCCCCAATCCCCAGTATCCCAATATCCCAGATCCCCAATATCCCAAATTTCCAGTGTCCCAATTTCCAATGTCCCAATCCCCAATATCCCAATCCCAAATTCCCAATCCCACTATCCCAAATCCCCATTTTTCCCAGCTCCTGGTGCTGCTCCTCTCCCTGCTCTGCCCCTTCATCCCAGGGACCCTGGAGATCCCAAATCCACATCCCAGGGACCCTGGAGATCCCAAATCCACATCCCAGGGATCCCTGGAGTGATCCCAAATCCCCAAATCCCCAATTCCCAAGATCCCAGCATCCCGAATTCCCGGTTTTCCAGCTGCTGACGCTGGCCCTGGGTGTGCTGGTGCTGCTCCTGTCCCTGCTCTGCCCCTTCATCCCCTGGACCCTGGAGATCCCAAATCCACATCCCAGGGATCCCTGGAGTGATCCCAAATCCCCAATTCCCAAGATCCCAGTGTCCTGAATTCCCGAATTCCCGGTTTTCCAGCTGCTGACGCTGGCCCTGGGCGTGCTGGTGCTGCTCCTGTCCCTGCTCTGCACCTTCATCCCCGGGATCCTGGAGATCCCAAATCCACATCCCCGGGATCCCTGGAGTGATCCCAAATCCCCGAATCCCCAATTCCCAAGATCCCAGCATCCCGAATTCCCGAATTCCCATTGAATTCCATCTGCTGGTGCTGCTCCTGTCCCTGCTCTGCACCTTCATCCCCTGGACCCTGGAGATCCCAAATCCACATCCCAGGGGCCCTGGAGATCCCAAATCCACATCCCAGGGATCCCTGGAGTGATCCCAAATCCCCAATTCCCAAGATTCCAGCGTCCCAAATTCCCAAATTCCCGTTGAATTCCAGCTGCTGACGCTGGCCCTGGGCGTGCTGGTGCTGCTCCTGTCCCTGCTCTGCCCCTTCATCCCCGGGATCCTGGAGATCCCAAATCCACATCCCAGGGACCCTGGAGATCCCAAATCCACATCCCAGGGATCCCTGGAGTGATCCCAAATCCCCGAATCCCCAATTCCCAAGATCCCAGTGTCCTGAATTCCCATTGAATTCCATCTGCTGGTGCTGCTCCTGTCCCTGCTCTGCACCTTCATCCCAGGGACCCTGGAGATCCCAAATCCACATCCCAGGGATCCCTGCAGTGATCCCAAATCCCCAATTCCCAAGATTCCAGCGTCCCAAATTCCCAAATTCCCGTTGAATTCCAGCTGCTGACGCTGGCCCTGGGCGTGCTGGTGCTGCTCCTGTCCCTGCTCTGCACCTTCCTCATCAGCTCCAAGGCCTCGCTGCTCTTCGGCCTCCCGGCCCCGCCCGGCCCCTCCGGCTACTGAAAATCCCGGGAAAAACGCCTGGAAAAGCCTCGGGAATCCCCCCCGGAGCTCCCGGCGCTGCAGATGCCAGAGGTGTTCCCAGGAAAGCCGGAATTCCGGGTGGGATCGGTGCCCTGGGGGTAGAATTCCAGGTGGGATCGGTGCCCCGGATGGGAAATTCCCAAAATTCCCATTGGGATTTGATACCCTGGGGGAGAATTCCCGGAATTCTGGGTGGGATCCGCTGTCCTGGGTGGGAAATTCCCAAAATTCCCATTCGGATCCAGTGCACTGAGTGAAAATTTCCCATTTGGATTCGACGCCCTGAGTGAAAAATTCCCAGAATTCTCATTAGGATTCTAAGCCCTGAGTGAAAAATTCCCAGAATTCCTGGTGCCCTGAGTGGCAAATTCCCAAAATTTTCCAAGACTTCCCAGCTGGATCCATCCTGTTTCCCGGGGTGGAGCTTTTCCCAAAATCCGGATAAAGGAAGGATAAAGGGGGTAGGGTTTTTTGGGAATTGTGAGGAATTCCAGGGGGTCTGAGAATGTCCCAGTGGAAAAAGTTCCTTTTTTTCCCTGGGATTTGTAAATATTATAAATAAATCCATGGAATTCCCAAGGAAATTTTTCATTTCCAGGTTTTTTCCCTCATTGGAGCCGCAAAAAGAAAAAAAAAAGAGGGGGAAAATGCTGGGAATCGAGGGAATTTGGGATTGGGGGAAATTTGGGATTTGGGGTTGGGTGGATAAAAGGGATGGGATTTAGATCCCAAATAATTCATGGAAAAGGAGGAGCAGGTCGGGAAAAGCTTTGGAATAACAGATGGGAAGGACACAAAGGCTGGGAAGGGACCAGATGGAGCCAAAATTCGGGATAATGGACCTGGAATTTGGGATAATGGGCCGGGAATTCGGGATATTGAACTGAGAATTTGGGGTAATGGACTTGGAATTTGGGATATTGAACTGAGAATTTGGGATAACGAGCCAGGAATTCGGGATGTTGAACTGAGAATTTGGGATAATGGACCTGGAATTTGGGATATTGAGCCGGGAATTTGGGATAATGGGTAGGGAATTCGGGATATTGAACTGGGAATTTGGGATAATGGGCCGGGAATTCGGGATCATGAGCCTGGAATTTGGGATATTGAGCCTGGAATTCGGGATCGTGGCCTGGAGCCGAGACTAGGAATTAACAAAATCCTGGGACTGGGAGTGAACAAAATCCCGGCAGAGCCTTCCCGAGCCCTTGGGATCTTTGGGATCTTTGGGATCCGAGCAGATCCCTGGCTGGAATCCCCCAATCCCGGCAATTCCAGGTGGGAATCCCGGCAGGGAAAAGGAGGAGAACTGAGCCGGGACCATCCCGGAGGGAATTTCCCAGGAAAGGGATCCCGGCTCTGGGTCGGGCCCTGGACCCGCAGCCCCGATCCCGGTCCCGTTTTTGGGGTCAGCCTGGAGCCCCGATCCCGTTCCAGGAGCAGCGGAATTCCCGGCGGGAAGCGCTGGCAGGCGGGGGAGGCTCCGCTCGCTCCCGCCTCATTCCCGGCTGGAATCGCGCCCGGAGCCCGCGGCCTCAGCTGCGGCCGCGCCGGGAACGATCCCAAAAAAATCCCCTCGGGGCGGCGGGGAGGGGATTCGGGATGGGAATGTGGGGTTTGGGGTGATGGATGTGGATTTGGGATGTGGGATTTGGGACTCGGGGTGGGAATTTGGGGTTTGGGGTGATGGATGTGGATTCGGGATGTGGGATTCGGGATTTGGGATTCGGGGTGATGGATGTGGATTTGGGATGTGGGATTCGGGATTTGGGATGGGGAGTGATGGATGCAGGAGGGGCCGGGAACGATCCCAAAAAATCCCCTCGGGGTGGCGGGGAGGGGATTCGGGAATGTGGGATGGGGATTTGGGATGGGGATTTGGGATGCGGCTGCGCCGGGAATGCTCCGGGAGCCGCCCCGGGCTCTGTCCCCTTGCATTCCCTGTTCCCATCCCCTGTCCCCTGCCGCTGTCCCCAGACCCGGGGCCGCTCCCTGTCCCCGTCCCCTCTCCGGTCCCTGTCCTCCTCTCCTGTCGCTGTCCCTCTCCTGTCCCCTCTCCCGTCCCTGTCCCCCTCTCCCGTCCCCTCTCTGTCCCCTCTCCTGTCGCTGTCCCTCTCCTGTCGCTGTCCCCTCTCCCGTCCCCTCTCCTGTCCCCTCTCCTGTCCCTCTCCCGTCCCCTGTGGGCCCCAGCCCGGGCTCCGCGCCCGCCGCGCTCGCAGCTGCTCCCGGAACGGCCCCGGAGCCGCGGGCGGCGACACGCGGGGCTCAGCTGGCGACAGCGGCGGGGACAGAGCCAGGGCCAGCACCGCCAGCACCGCCAGCATCGCCATGGCAGCGAGCGGGGACAGCGGGGACACAGCGGGGACAGAACGGGGACAGAGCGGGGACAGAGAGGGGACAGAGCGGGGACAGAGAGGGGACAGAACGGGGATAGAACGGGGACAGAACGGGGACAGAGCGGGGATAGAGCGGGGACAGCGGGGATAGAGCGGGGACAGAGCGGGGACAGAGCGGGGACAGAGAGGGGACAGAGCGGGGACAGAGAGGGGACAGAGCGGGACAGAAGGGACCGAAGGGACACAGAGGGGACACAGAGGGGACACAGAGGGGACACAGCGGGACAAAGGGGACCGAAGGGACACAGAGGGGACACAGAGGGGACACAGAGGGGACACAGCGGGACAAAGGGGACCGAAGGGACACAGAGGGGACACAGAGGGGACACAGAGGGGACACAGCGGGACAAAGGGGACCGAAGGGACACAGAGGGGACACAGAGGGGACACAGAGGGGACACAGCGGGACAAAGGGGACCGAAGGGACACAGAGGGGACACAGAGGGGACACAGAGGGGACACAGCGGGACAAAGGGGACCGAAGGGACACAGAGGGGACACAGAGGGGACACAGAGGGGACACAGCGGGACAAAGGGGACCGAAGGGACACAGAGGGGACACAGAGGGGACACAGAGGGGACACAGCGGGACAAAGGGGACCGAAGGGACACAGAGGGGACACAGAGGGGACACAGAGGGGACACAGCGGGACAAAGGGGACCGAAGGGACACAGAGGGGACACAGAGGGGACACAGAGGGGACACAGCGGGACAAAGGGGACCGAAGGGACACAGAGGGGACACAGAGGGGACACAGAGGGGACACAGCGGGACAAAGGGGACCGAAGGGACACAGAGGGGACACAGAGGGGACACAGAGGGGACACAGCGGGACAAAGGGGACCGAAGGGACACAGAGGGGACACAGAGGGGACACAGAGGGGACACAGCGGGACAAAGGGGACCGAAGGGACACAGAGGGGACACAGAGGGGACACAGAGGGGACACAGCGGGACAAAGGGGACCGAAGGGACACAGAGGGGACACAGAGGGGCAGAGCCGGGATAGAACGGGGACAGCGGGGACAGAACGGGGACACAGCGGGGACAGAGCCGGGACAGAGCGGGGACAGCGGGGACAGGGCATAGGGCATGGGGACAGGGACGGGGACCCAGAAGTCCCGGGACGCGCGGGGGGATCCCGAGCGCGGCCCTGGCGGGGCGGGGAGATCCCGGGCGGATCCGGAGCTCCGGGCGGATCCCAAAAGCGGGACGGGGGCGCTGGGATCTCCCTGGAGCTGCAGCGCATTCCCACATTTCCCGATTTCCCCCGGTTTTCCCGGAGCTGAACCGGGACAATCCCAGAAAGGCGAGAGCAGAGCGGCCCCAAAGGTCGCTGTGTCCCGGCTGGACTCGGGGTCGCATTCCCGGCTCTTCCCGGGATATTCCCGGGTTTTTCCCGGGTTCCTCCCTTTCCCTTTTCCCTCTCCACCACAGGTGAATTTTCCAGGCGGGATTTATGATGGAGCCAAGGGGACCCGCAGCGTCCTCAGGGATCACCCGGGGGCTCCAGAGCCTCGGGAAGCACCGGGAATTCCGCTCCAGGCTCCCTGGTCCCTTTCCCCGAGTTTCCCGAGGCCGGGAATTCCTCTCCAGACTCCCCTTTCCCAATTTTCGGGACCGGGAATTCCGCTCCGGGCTCCCCTTTCCCAATTTTCGGGACTGGGAATTCCGCTCCAGGCTCCCCTTTCCCAATTTTCGGGACCGGGAATTCCGCTCCAGGCTCCCTTTTCCCAATTTTCGGGACCGGGAATTCCGCTCCAGGCTCCCCTTTCCCAATTTTCGGGACCGGGAATTCCGCTCCAGGCTCTTTTTCCCCCTTTTCCCGGCCCGAATTCCCGCTGGAAAGGAGCACCGGGAGCAGCTGTCGCCTTTTCCCGGCCCGCATCCAGCGCGCCCCTCCCGGGGGGCTCCGCGCAGCCAATGGAATCCCGAATTCCCGGTTTTCCATATTTATGAGGGAAAAGGGAGGGGGAGCGGGAGAGGCCAATGAGGCTCCCGGGGTCGGGCCCAGGGTGGATAAATTGGGAATTTTTAGGGGGAGCGGCGAATTTCCTCCTCGGAGGCTCCGGAGCGGCGCTGCCGCCCCGGGAATTCCGGGATTGATCCCAGATTCCCGTCCCGGATCCGTCGCGGGACCATCGGGAGAATCCAGGGAAAGTTTTTTCCCTTCCTCCATGGATGGATGAGCGGAGCGGGTTCCAAACCCTGGGAATACCTGGAGGAGAAACCGCGGAGCCTGGGAATGCTGCGGGACTCGGGGTAAGGCGGCTATTCCAGGGATCGGGAATGGCTCAAAAAACCGGGATCCGGGCGGGAATCCGGCCCCAGATTCCCGGGAAAAAGGCTCTATCCCACTGCCAGGTTTGGATCCCAAATCCCTTTGGAAAAAGGATTTTTCCTGGGAGGGTTTGGGAGCGGGGAAAAGGAAAAGAACCCGCCTGGAATTGTCCTGGACACGTTTGGTTTCCAAGGAAAATTGTCGGGAATTTCGTCACTCCACGGGTCGGGAATGGGAGGAAAAGGGCGAGGGAGGAGGTGGGAAGAATTCCCGGGGTTTTTCTGGGAGAAGTGGAGGCTGACCAGGAATTGGGCAGTTTTTCCCCACCAAAAAAAACAAAAAAAAAAAAAAAAAAAAAAAAAAAAGGAAAGGGAAAAGAGGCGCTGGGAGCAGGAATTCCGCTCCAAGGAAAAGCTCCGGGATAACCCAGGCCGGGAGTTTGTTTGGATCCGGGAATGAGACCTGAGTTTTCCCAAAAAAAGTCTCCTGCTTCCCCTCCTGGTGTGGGATTCACCCCAAATTCCCGGGAATCCCAGATTCACAGGGCAGCTCAAGGGGCCAAATCCCCAAATTCCCAAATCCCCAAATTCCCAGTGAAGCCGAGCCGAGGACTCCCAGCCAGGGGTGATCCCGAACATCCGAATTCCCGAAGAAATTCGGGAGATTCAATGAGGAAAACCCCACCCCCCTCGGGATTTTGGGAGCTGTCGGGCGGCTCTTCCCGGATTTTTGGGGGGGAACAAATTCCCACCATCCCAGCCTTTTTAAAAATCGGGATCGCGGCCGTTCCTGCCCTGCCCCGGTGGGATTTGGGATCCGTTCCCAGCCGCTTTTCCCATTCCAAAGTTTTTCCCCGTGGCATTCCCAGATTTCCAGGTGCGACCGCCGGGGATGAGGAGGAGGAGGAGGAAGGAAAGGAGAGGAGCATTCCCAGCTCATTCCCAGCCGTTTTCCCCATTCCAAAGTTTCTCCCCCTTTCCCGGGACGCTCCCGGATTTCCAGGGTAGGCAGCGGGGATGAAGATGAGGAGGAGGATGAAGATAGATAAAGATAAAGATAAAGATAAAGATAAAGATAAAGATAAAGATAAAGATAAAGATAAGATAAGATAAAGATGAGGATGAGGATGAAGAAGAAGTTAAGGATGGGAATGAGGATGAGGAAGAAGAGGAGGAGGATGAATATAAAGATAAAAGAGGAGGAGGAGGAGGAGGATGAAGAAGTTGAGGATGGGAATGAGGATGATGAGGATGAGGAAGAAGAGGAGCAGGATGATGATGAGCAGGGGGCGGGGCGCGTTCCCGGCGCTCGGGATTCCCTGCGGATTCCCGGGAGCAGCTGCGGCCGCTCCATCTGCCGGGAGCGGAGCCAGCGGGGACAGACGGGGACAGACGGGACAGGGGGACAGGGGATTTATTATTTTATTTTATTTTATTTTAATTTCATTATTTTATATTATTTTACTTTATTTTAAGTTTTATCTTACCTTGTTTTACTCTATTCTAATTTTTACCTTTTATTTTTAATTACTATTTCATTTTTTTTTTATTTTGATGCCTCTGCCGGCTCCTTTCCCACCCAGAGCTGAAATTCCCGATCCTTCTTTTCCAGACCCGTCAGGATCTGACCCCTGAGGGCTCCGGAGCCTCACCCTGACCCCAAAAACCCCAAAACCACGGGAAAAAACTCGATCTCATTTTATGCCTCCCGCTGCTTGCCCGGATTTATCCCCTGGGGAAGTTTTCTCCCGGAGCACGGAATTCCCGAGGAAAATTCCCCAATTCCCGGCTGGGATGTGATGAGGAGGAGGAGGAGGAGGATCCCCGCGGGCCTTGCTGGGAGCTGGGGACGGGCACCCCAAACCCGGGGGCTGCTCCTGCTGGGGTGACCCCGAAACGCCGGGAGCGGCTTCCCCTGAGGGGGCCCCAAAACACTTGGGGGTGTCCCCAAATCCACGGGATCCCTTTGGAACTGTCCCCAAATTCCCAGCATCCCTTTGGAATTGTCCCCAAACCCTTGGGATCCCTTTGCTGCTGCCCCCAGGATCCCTTTGGAATTGTCCCCAAACCCCAGGATCAGTTCAGAACTGTCCCCAAATCCCCGGGATCCCTTTGGAATTGTCCCTGGGATCCCTTTGGATCTGTCCCCAAGTCCCCATGATCCCTTTCGAATTGTCCCCGTGATCCCTTTGGATCTGTTCCCGTGATCCCTTTGGAATTGTCCCCGGGATCCCTTTGGATCTGTCCCTGTGATCCCTTTGGATCTGTTCCCATGATCCCTTTGGATCTATTCCCGTGATCCCTTTGGAATTGTCCCCGGGATCCCTTTGGATCTATTCCCGTGATCCCTTTGGAATTGTCCCCAGGATCCCTTTGGATCTGTTCCCGGGATCCCTTTGGATCTGTTCCCGTGATCCCTTTGGAATTGTCCTTGGGATCCCTTTGGAATTGTCCCTGGGATCCCTTTGGATCTATTCCCGTGATCCCTTTGGAATTGTCCCTGGGATCCCTTTGGATCTGTCCCCAAGTCCCCGGGATCCCTTTGGATCTGTTCCTGTGATCCCTTTGGAATTGTCCCTGGGATCCCTTTGGAATTGTCCCCGTGATCCCTTTGGAATTGTCCCTGGGATCCCTTTGGAATTGTCCCCGTGATCCCTTTGGAATTGTCCCCGGGACCCCTCTGCCGCCGTCCCCTCTCCCCGGTTCCCTGGGATCCCTTTGGATCTGTCCCCGGGATCCCTTTGGAATTGTCCCTGGGATCCAAAGGGATCTGTCCCCGGGACCCCTCTGCCGCCGTCCCCCCTCCCCGGTGACGATGATGCTGAACTCGGAGCCGCCCGCCCTCGACGTCCCCTCGTCCCACCCGGACCCTGAGCCCGCTCTGGGGGCCGGTGCCGGTGCCGGCGCCGCGGGCCCGGCCGGGAAGGAGCCGCTGAGCCGCGAGGAGCGGCGGCGCCGGCGCCGCGCCACGGCCAAGTACCGCACGGCGCACGCCACGCGCGAGCGCATCCGCGTCGAGGCCTTCAACGTGGCCTTCGCCGAGCTGCGGCGCCTGCTGCCCACGCTGCCCCCCGACAAGAAACTGTCCAAGATCGAGATCCTGCGCCTGGCCATCTGCTACATCTCCTACCTGAACCACGTCCTGGACGTCTGACCTGTCCGTCTGTGCGTCCATCCGTCCGTCTGTCCGTCTATCCGTCCGTGTGTCCGTCCCTGCTGCCCACGCTGCTCCTGTCCAAGATCGAGATCCTGCGCCCAACCGTCTGCTGCATCTCCAACCTGAACCACGTCCTGGATGTCTGACGTGTCCGTCCGTCCATCCGTGTGTCCGTCTGTCCGTCCGTGTGTCCATCCGTGTGTCCGTCCCTGCTGCCCACGCTGCTCCTGTCCAAGATCGAGATCCTGCGCCCAACCGTCTGCTGCATCTCCTGCCTGAACCACGTCCTGGACGTCTGAGCTGTCCGTCCGTCCGTCCGTCTGTCTGTCCATCCGTGTGTCATCCATGTGTCCATCCAGCCATCTGCTACATCTCCTACCTGAACCACGTCCTGGACGTCTGACCTGTCCGTCCGTCTGTCTATCTGTCCATCCAGCTATCTGCTGCATCTCCTACCTGAACCATGTCCTGGACGTGTGACCTGTCCGTCTGTGTGTCCATCCGTCTGTCCGTCCCTGTGTCCGTCCCTGCTGCCCACGCTGCTCCTGTCCAAGGTGGAGATCCTGCGCCCGGCCATCTGCTGCATCTCCAACCTGAACCACGTCCTGGACGTCTGAGGTGTCCGTGTGTCTGTCCATGCGTCCGTCCCTGTGTCCGTGTGTCCATCCCTGTGGCCATCTGGCCATCTGGCCGTCCCTCTGTCCCAGTGTCCGTCCGTGTGTCCACCTGTCCATCTGCTGCATCTCCTACCTGAACCACGTCCTGGACGTCTGACCTGTCCGTCCGTCTGTCTATCTGTCCATCCAGCTATCTGCTGCATCTCCTACCTGAACCATGTCCTGGACGTGTGACCTGTCCGTCCGTGTGTCCATCCGTGTGCCCACCTGGCTATCGGCTACATCTCCAACCTGAACCACGTCCTGGACGTCTGAGGTGTCCGTGTGTCTGTCCATGCGTCCGTCCCTGTGTCCGTGTGTCCATCCCTGTGGCCATCTGGCCATCTGGCCGTCCCTGTGTCCATGTGTCCGTCCGTGTGTCCACCTGTCCATCTGCTGCATCTCCTACCTGAACCACGTCCTGGACGTCTGACTGTCCGTGTGTCCATCCCTGTGCCCATCTGTGCATCCATCCGTGTGTCCGTGTGTCCATCCCGTGTGTCAATCTGTCCGTGTGTCCATCCCTGTGTCCATCCCTGTGTGTCAATCTGTCCATGTGTCCATCCGTGTCCATCCGTCCATCCGTGTGCCCTCCCTGCCCCACCCCCGCCCTGCTCCCAGGGCTTTGGAGCAGCAATTCCAGAGGAACTGGAGCAGCAATTCCGGAGGGAGGGAAGAGCCAATCCCAGAGATTTGGGACTGCAAATCCCAGAGGGATGGAGCAGCAAATCCCAAAATGCTGGAGCAGCAAAACCCTAAAATCTGGAAGAGCAAATCCCAGAGGGTGGAGCCGCAATTCCCAGGGGTTTGGAGCAGCAATTCCAGAGGAAATGGAGCAGCAATTCCCAGAGGAACGGAGCTGCAAATCCCAGAGAGTTGGGACAGCAAATCCCAAAATGTTGGAGCCGCAATTCCCAGAGGAACTGGGGCCAGAATTCCCAGAGAACTGGAGCAGGAATTCACGGGACTGGCTCCCCCTTTTCCCCCCAGACCTTTCCCTCTCCTTCCCCCCGTCTCTGTGCCATGAGGATATTTATGGAATTAATTTATTTATTGAGAAGTATTATTATTATTTATTATTTATTATTATCATCATTATTTATTATTATTATTAACAACTTATCCACTGTGTCCTTGTGCTGTTTTGGGGGGAAAAGGAGAAGACCCTGTCCCCATTCCAAACCCTTTTAGGGTCGCTTTTCCCCATTCCCAGTCCCTTTTTCCCATTCCCAACCTCTTTTCCCCATTCCCAATCCCTTTAGGATCCCTTTCTCCCATTCCCATTCCCCCTTTCCCCATTCCCAATCCCTTTTCCCCATTCCCAGTCCCTTTTCCCCCCAGACCTTTCCCTCTCCTTCCCCCCGTCTCTGTGCCATGAGGATATTTATGGAATTAATTTATTTATTGAGAAGTATTATTATTATTTATTATTTATTATTATCATCATTATTTATTATTATTATTAATAACTTATCCACTCTGTCCTTGTGCTGTTTTGGGGGGAAAAGGAGAAGACCCTGTCCCCATTCAAAACCCTTTTAGGGTCGCTTTTCCCCATTCCCAGTCCCTTTTTCCCATTCCCAACCTCTTTTCCCCATTCCCAATCCCTTTAGGATCCCTTTCTCCCATTCCCATTCCCCCTTTCCCCATTCCCAATCCCTTTTCCCCATTCCCAGTTCCCTTTTCTCCATTCCCAGTCCCCCTTTCCCCATTCCCAGTCCCCTTTTCCCCATTCCCTTTCCCCATTCCCAGTCCCTTTGGGGTCCCTTTCCCCATTCCCAATCCCTTTTCCCCATTCCCATTCCCCCTTTCCCCATTCCCAGTTCCATTTTCCCCATTCCCAATCCCTTTCCCCATTCCCTAATCCCTTTCCCCATTCCCAATTCCTTTCCCCATTCCCAATCCCTTTTCCCCATTCCCATTCCCCCTTTCCCCATTCCCAATCCCAATCCCCATTCCCTTTCCCCATTCCCTTTCCCCATTCCCAGTCCCTTTGGGGTCCCTTCTCCCCATTCCCAGTTCCCTTTTCCCCATTCCCAGTCCCCCTTTCTCCATTCCCAGTCCCTTTGGGGTCCCTTTTCCCCATTCCCAGTCCCCCTTTCCCCATTCCCAGGCCCCCTTTCCCCATTCCCCTACCCCCTTTCCCCATTCCCATTCCCCCTTTCCCCATTCCCATTCCCTTTCCCCATTCCCAGTCCCTTTAGGGTCCCCTTTCCCCACCCCGGCAGATCCCAAACCCCTTTGTGGCCCCGGTCCCATCTGGCCCCATTGTCCCCTCACAAAGGGAGCTCCGGGCTCTCATTGAGATTCCGGCCCGGCACATCGGGAATTCCCTCCCTTTGTCCTCGGCCCCTCCGAGCCCTTCCCGGCACAATTCCCGATTTTCCCCCCACCCCATTCCCGATTTTCCCCCCCATTCCCCATTTTTTCCCCTATTCCCAATTTTTCCCCCCTATTTCCAGCCCTTCCCGTCCCTCTGAAAAATCCCATTCCTCGGGAAAATCCACCTGGCTTTGGGACAAAAATCAGGGAATTGCTCCTGGGTGTCCCCAAATGTCCCCCGGGGTGTCCCCTTGTCCCCAGGGGTGTCCCCAGTGTCCCCCAGGGCTGTCCCCTTGTCCCCAATCGCCACCGGGGCAGCAGCGCCCCCTGCCGGGCCCCGCCAGCCCTGCCACCCCCCCAATTTGGGGACATCGCCCCCTGTCACCTCCCCCGAATCTGGGGACATCCCTCCCTCGATTAGGGAGCCCCAAACCCCTTTAGGGCCGCGTCCCCAAACCCCTCAGGGCTCATTGTCCCCAAACCCTTCAGGGCTCAGTGTCCCCAAACCCTTCAGGGCTCAGTGTCCCCAAACTCTTTAGGGCCGTGTCCCAGTCCCTTTAGGGTCCCCTTTCCCCACCCCGGCAGATCCCAAACCCCTTTGTGGCCCCGGTCCCATCTGGCCCCATTGTCCCCTCACAAAGGGAGCTCCGGGCTCTCATTGAGATTCCGGCCCGGCACATCGGGAATTCCCTCCCTTTGTCCTCGGCCCCTCCGAGCCCTTCCCGGCACAATTCCCGATTTTCCCCCCACCCCATTCCCGATTTTCCCCCCCATTCCCCATTTTTTCCCCTATTCCCAATTTTTCCCCCCTATTTCCAGCCCTTCCCGTCCCTCTGGAAAATCCCATTCCTCGGGAAAATCCACCTGGCTTTGGGACAAAAATCAGGGAATTGCTCCTGGGTGTCCCCAAATGTCGCCCGGGGTGTCCCCTTGTCCCCAGGGGTGTCCCCAGTGTCCCCCAGGGCTGTCCCCTTGTCCCCAATCGCCACCGGGGCAGCAGCGCCCCCTGCCGGGCCCCGCCAGCCCTGCCACCCCCCCAATTTGGGGACATCGCCCCCTGTCACCTCCCCCGAATCTGGGGACATCCCTCCCTCGATTTGGGAGCCCCAAACCCTTTAGGGCCGCGTCCCCAAATCCTTCAGGGTTCATTGTCCCCAAACCCTTTAGGGCTCATTGTCCCCAAACCCTTTAGGGCTCCGTGTCCCCAAACCCTTCAGGGCTCAGTGTCCCCAAACCCTTCAGGGCTCAGTGTCCCCAAACCCTTCAGGGCCGTGTCCCCTCCCGCAGCCCTCGGAGGGGAGGGGCGGCCCCATAAAGGCGCGGGTGGGGCCGAGCGCCCCTTCCCAGCTGCCGCAGCCCCATCTGGCCGGGAACGACCCCCGACCCCATAAATCATCCCCGGAGCGGAGCGGGAGCGCCCGGGGGCAGCTGCGGCAAACCCTTCAGGGCTCATTGTCCCCAAACCCTTTAGGGCTCCGTGTCCCCAAACCCTTCAGGGCTCAGTGTCCCCAAACCCTTCAGGGCTCAGTGTCCCCAAACTCTTTAGGGCCGTGTCCCCAAATCCTTTAGAGCTCATTGTCCCCAGACCCTTTAGAGCTCATTGTCCCCAAACCCTTCAGGGCTCAGTGTCCCCAAACCCCTTTAGGGCTCAGTGTCCCCAAACCCTTTAAGGCCGCGTCCCCAAACCCTTTAGGGCTCAGTGTCCCCAAACCCCTTTAGGGCTCAGTGTCCCCAAACCCTTTAGGGCTCCGTGTCCCCAAACCCTTCAGGGCTCAGTGTCCCCAAACCCTTCAGGGCTCAGTGTCCCCAAACCCTTTAGGGCCGTGTCCCCAAACCCTTCAGGGCTCAGTGTCCCCAACCCCTTCAGGGCCGTGTCCCCTCCCGCAGCCCTCGGAGGGGAGGGGCGGCCCCATAAAGGCGCGGGTGGGGCCGAGCGCCCCTTCCCAGCTGCCGCAGCCCCATCTGGCCGGGAACGACCCCCGACCCCATAAATCATCCCGGGGAACGACCCCCGACCCCATAAATCATCCCCGGAGCGGAGCGGGAGCGCCCGGGGGCGGCCCAGGGACCCCCCGGCACCGACCCCACAACAATGGGGTCACCCGGGACCCCCCCCCAGCACAGACCCCACAACAATGGGGTCACAGGGACCCCCCGGCACCGACCCCACAACAATGGGGTCACCCGGGACCCCCCAGCACAGACCCCACAACAATGGGGGCGCCAGGAGCCGGGTTTGGGGTCACAGCTCGGGGTGGGGCCGGGGGTTCCGCTCATCAGGGCGGAAATAATGGGGTGGGGGGCACCGCGTCCATAGCCCCATAACCCCATCGCCCCCCGCCCCATAATCGCTTTCCCATCGCCCCATAGCCCCCAGCCCCAAAATCCCCCCAATCTCGGCGGCCTCGGAGCGCTTTGTGCCCGTCCCGGGGCCACCTGCGGGGCGTCCCCGCTGTCCCCGCCACCTGCGCGGTGTCCCCTGTGTCCCCCCATCACCTGCGGGGTG